CCTTTTTTTTTTTTTTTTTTTTTTTTTTTTTTTTTTTTTGCCATATTGCAATTGATCTCATGAGTTACTTGATTGGCACCATTGTACATCCTATAAAGTCAGGCATGACCGCTAGACGCCGTTTTCTTCATCGGGAATTTATTATTTGGGGCTTGACAGCTTCCATGGCTTTTTCTATAGCAATGATGGCTTCTTCAGTCGTGGAACCCTTCCACAGACCACGTCGACAGCACCTTGCTGTTGAACGCATAGGTTCTGGGTGTGGGTGGCAAGAGGCATTGTCCATTATCAGAAGAACATTTTTTTTTTTTCTTGAGATAGAGTTGCCTCTGTTGCCCAGGCAGATGGTACAGTGGTGCAATCTCAGCTCACTGCAACCTCTGCCTCCTGAGTTCAGTTCAAGTGAGTCTCACGCCTCAGCCTCCCAAGTAGCTGGGATTACAGGCGTGCACCACCACACCTGGCTACTTTTTGTATTTTTAGTAGAGATGGAGTTTGCCATGCTGGCCAGGCTGGTCTCAAACTCTTGTCCTCAAGTGATCCACCCACCTTGGCCTCCCAAAGTGCTGGGATTACAGGGGTGAGCCACTGTACCCAGACTGGATTCATGTGTTTTAAAACAGCCAGCAGCTGCAGACCTGTCCTGTAAATGCATGACTTTCCTCTGCTGATTTCCAGCATCACTAGTGGCACTTTGCATAGGTCCCACGGTGTTATTAAAGGTTTACAGTATTACATTAAACACAATGAAAAATAAGAACCTTGAGAAGTCACTCTATACTGGGATATGCAATTTACTAGAGAGACAAACGGGTGAGCCACTGCACCCAGCCTCATTGTATTGTTTTGAGCGAAGTTTTGCTCTTGTTGTCCAGGCTGGAGTGCAGTGGCATGATCTCGGCTCACTACAGCCTCCACCTCCCAGTTTGAAGCAATTCTCCTGCCTCAGCCTCCCAAGTAGTGTTACAAGCATGCACCATCACCCCTTGGCTAATTTTGTATTTTTAGTAGAGACAGGGTTTCCCCATGTTAGTCAGGCTGGTCTCAAACTCCTGACCTCAGGTGATCCGCCTCCCTTGGCCTCCCGAAGTGTTGGGATTACAGGTGTGAGCCACTGTACTCAGCCTATTTATTTATTTATTTTGAGATGATGTCTCACTCTTTTGCCCAGGCTGGAATGCAGTGGTGCGATCTTGGCTCACTGCAACCTCTGCCTCTCAGGTACAAGCAATTCTCCTGCCTCAGCCTCCCAAGTAGCTGGGATTACAGGCATGCGCCACCGCCACCATGCCTGGCTCATTTTTGTATTTTTTTTTTAGTGGAGGCTGGGTTTTGCCATGTTGACCAGTCTCAAACTCCTGACCTCAAGCGATCTGCCCTCCTCAGCTTCCTGAAGTGCTGGGATTACAGGTGTGAGCCACTGTGGCTGGCCAAGAATGATTTTAAATCACCCATCAGCTGATAATTGAATGAGCTTCTCCAACTTGGTGGAAGCAGAGAGCTGGCATTGGCCTTGCCAAGGGGCCTGAAACCTGATTAGGAGAGCCATCAGTCTCTCAGTCCCAGGAGGGTTAGATCAAAGACTTCACTGAGATGGCTTATATAACATTCCATAGCCCTGATAGCACTCACTTATTAGAACCTAATATGCTCAGAGGGTAGGAAACCAACAGGTAAGTCTTCTTTTTTTTTTTTTTTTTTTTTTTTTTTT